TCTCTGCCTCTATAAGGCTCATTAACTGCAGAAAGGATTGTATATAGAGGATGAGCTGAGGCCATATTAGGTGTCCAATGAATACTATAGCCATCTTCATATGGTGGGTCATGAGGGCTTATTGTTGGTGTTGTTGGGTGAGTATTCTGTACAACAATGATCACAAATGGCATATCTAATGCATGGTGGCTATAGGTTATGTCACATACCTTTTGACAAGAAACAAGAATTTTGGAAATATAAGCACACATGCCACTTCCATAAAATGTTACAGGGGCATTAAAACTTTATCTATATCTTTTTGGTCAATCAATCACTTCTAATCATCTAACTGGCCATGGTAATATTGTGATATCATTGAGATGGAATATCCAATCCTCAGTCAGATTCTTCTTTTTCATGGATTTCTAATTGTTTAGGTCAATCCAAAAGCAAAAGTTTATAAATCTTGTTGAGTTAGCTTGTGATTTAACTTTCATATCTAACATTATAGCCACGCGATACAACACATGTACTAGCCTTTTTATCTTTAACCTGGCATCAATTATTTTCCATAAGTAATCCACTATGCTTGTTGATTGGCAGAATAGTTTTTCTAGAGAACTTGGTTTAGATAATAGTTATGAGGCATGGAAGAGAATTTCTTGTTTTAGTATGAAGCATGAACAGATTCTCTGTTTGCTGCATGATAAAATTTGTCATGTAATCATGAACGTTAGATGGTGTAGCTGATCATATTGTGATCCTTGCTCTCTTGTTTTCTCAAATGGTTTAATACATGATAAACTAGAGAAAGAAAGCAATTGTAGCTGAAGGAGAGGGAAGGATGTTGTGTGGAACTTTATAATCTGAGAATTAGCATGGAAAAACTTGGTGGAAATGATGATTTGACAATTAGCTCGGGGTCTTTGGTAAGGATTTCTATTTTCTATTTGTTTCTAGGAATTACATTTTCGCCATCATCTATTTTTTGTCCTTGTTTCTAGGATATCATATTGTGACATATCAGTTTCTTTTTTTTTTGAACAGTACAACTTGGTTTTGCAAAGTGTGTCCAGTAAACAAAGTTTTGGTCTTTGATGGTCTTGATTAACAATGTATTTCTGTTAATTGTCAAAAATTTCGTGGATACTGCCGCATATTTGCTTTTCCATTGATATGCATAAGAAACCTTCAATTTGAATTATATATTTCAGATGATCGCAAGTGAGTTATCATTCATATTTAGCATATATTTATTTGTTATACTTCAACATGTTCTTCTTGTAGGCCTTTCAATACAATCTCAATTGGCATGCCATATTTGCAGATCCCACTAAACCTATAGCAGTCGATATTGGCAGCGGTACCTTTCTCTTCCATTACTTATTTGAAACAGCTTTTAAGTTTTACCATCTTGTGGTGTTTTAGATCAAGTTTCATCAAATATCATATTAGAAGAAATACTTGGACATGTTATTTCAGTTACATACCAAAAAATGTAGTTATCATCAGCACTGTTCAGTCCCTTTCCTAGTAATGCTTAGGAGCATTTGGGCTGCATCAAGTTATTATAATTGCAGTTGTTCAAATATTAACTTTAGAAATATTGTGAAATAGCTGGAGCATTAAGAATCTTTAACTAGTAACATGAGTGGAGGAATAACATTAAAGTTATAAGTGATTTACTATTAAAGATGAATGACACCATGAGAATCCTGGCTGCGCTTCATTTTCTTATGTCCTTCTAGCTTATGATTCTGAAGTTATTTCCATAACGTATACATGTAAATACTTAATTTTCTTTCCTTGATAGGAAATGGCTTGTTTATTTTGAAGGTGGCTAGAAAATGCACAGATTTAAACTTTCTTGGGCTTGAGATTAACAGGAAGGTGATCCTCATTTTTTTTTATTGCATAGAGATGTTTGTAGTTTTGCTAATGTTTTCTCAATTGTCTGCAGCTTGTTCAGAGATGCTTAGATAATTTGCATCAATCTGAGTTCAAAAATGGGTGAGTGTCTTTAATGCAACTTGCAGTTACACGTGAAAGTTACCTAGTGTTAATAGTTCTAGTTCAGAAACACTTGTTTGAAGTCTTGTATATTGGTCATTTATCTTAAATAATTAATTTATCTTTATGCATGCAAATGTTTCTTAAAATTTGTAGTTCTATCCAAGGTTCG